CTCAACTAATTGTAAAACAAAACTCCCCTCAGTAACCAGATGAGCTCGCAGGAACTCTTCAAGCGCATTGAGAAGTCCACTAAGGCCAACGCTGATTAGGAAGTGTTAGTAAAACTCATAAAAAGTCACTCGTTCATTATACTGTGTAGCTCTCATTCAACAAGTTTTATTGCCAAGTCAACCAAACAATAGAAATTGAGCTATGTCGAGACAGATATATCTGATAAAACAGGTTGGAGCTATGCGACAGCCAGTAAATCAGGTTTACACTGGTAATCCACAGCTATTATAGTAATGCTAGAAAAGCAATGCGCTGACGCAGGGTATGGACTGCTGAGACACAAGGAAATTGCATGCTGGATCAAACTGAAGATGTTCGCAGAAATTGAGGGTTTCAGGGCGTTGGGGAAAATGGCGGTCAGTACGAAACCCCTCTGAAAGAAGGTTCCAATCCAAGGATCTGTCTTCACCTTGCGTGTGAACATTTCAAGACTCCTGACTGTCCAAGAAAGGTGTGCTTTGAATTTCTCAGTGGTTTTGCAAGATCAGGTTCTTCTAATAATGCCGTGGTCACGTCTTGTGCACCGCTTCGGAATAGGCTGTCTCGTGAGAAGCCGCTTTCTGGGACACCCACGCTTTCCTGTAAGACGAACTGTATTTCACCTCCGTATCTCCAGCCGTGCGTGAGGATAGTGGAGCTGCAGTGGCATGTAATTTTGTGCAGATGTCAGGAGCCGTCTCCACTCGCCCTAGCACACGCCTAACCATCGCCGAACGCGCTACTGGTCTGCGCACCCTCTATTTTCGTCTCTCGCTTCTCTAACTGATTTTGGGTCTTGGGATCGACGCAAGAGCTGCATCTCTGGGATAGAGAGGGCGGAGTATGGATCGAGACGGTACTCGGGTACCACTACACCGCAGCCCTATTCCCGTGCACTTTCTAGCGGAGAAAGTGTCTCTTTGCAGCTATGGATCCATTCACCTCACACATGGCAAGGATATTTCTCGGAGGCGGGTGCACAGTTTATCTCGGAACAAGGCTGAACGTTTTTGGAGAGCTGAATTTGACTCGAAAAAACCATTGAATTCCCTTTATTTCAGACAACGTCTTCGATGAGTTCGACGGGACATTGGAAGTTGCAATGAAAGATTTGACTACCACAATTTTCTTGTATGCAGTATTTTGCTAAACTAAGGAAACGTTGGCAAGACGAAATGTTTCATTTTTCATATGAGGCTGCGTTTATACTTCACGGCAGCGTAGCGTAGCGCTTACAGCGTTTCACGAGCGTACCACTAGCGTTTCGCTAGCGTTTGCAGCGGCGGGGCTAGAGAGTATAGAAGAGTAGGAGAGTACAAAAACTCTCCTACTCTTCTATACTGTCTAGCTCTGCCGCTGGCAAACGCTAGCGAAACGCTAATGAAACGCTCGTGAAAACGCTGGGAGCGCTAAATCGATAGCTATGCTTCCCCTGCCCTCGCTACGCTAGCGTTACGCTAGCGTACGCTGGTGACGCTGGGAACGCTAGAGCGATATCTATCCTTTCCGCGGCACTGCCGCTGGCGTACGCTGGAAGCGCTACGCTACGCTGCCGCAACGCAGCCTAAGGCTGCACTTTATATGAAGGTATCCCTGTCAGAAAAAAAATTTGGTGAGATATTTAGAAAAAACACCGGGACACGATCCCTTCTGTACCGTTGCTTGTTCAAGGATAACGAGATTGCTTCTCCGGCGTTGATTGGTCTCAGCTTCGTAGGGGCCCTGCACTCTACTCCCTCACGAAGGTAGTGGAGAGGTGGAGCTCCTGCATGGTGCTGCTTACAGGTGCGGGGAACATGTTCTTATGAGCTGGGAAGGTCTAAACCATCGTCTGTATTTATTTCCAACATCGTTATTACTTTTATTACAGTTCTCGCCCAAATTTCCCCTTAAAATGTGGTTCTTGAGTTCCAATCCTTGCTCACTAGCGACAAAGTCTGCGTCACGAGATTTGGTGCCGACGGCCCTGCTCTTACGACTTCAAATGCACCGGTCAAACACCGCCGTTCCCTAGATAAGCGCTCCTCAACGATGGTATGCCCTGGTTAACCACCAGGGCATACCATCCCACCATCACTTGCTTTAATTTCCTTGCACACCCACCAGGAACCGATGCCGTCGCGATCAGGCAGGGTGGTAAAAAGTGGGTTGGAGTAAGTCCACCTACGGAGCTCCCCTCATTTTTCTTATCTTTCGAAAGATATCAGCAGCCAATCACTACTGGTCGAACAAGGCAGCCGAAGGCGAGCTCAACCCGCCCTCCCAACTCTGCCCCGTCTCATTGCGACGCCATCAAGTGCATGTAGAATTGGTAGAAAACATCAGGTTGATGAAAACTCCAGCGCAACTATGAACAACCGTTCTGAGCAAAACAGAACACTTGTCAGCGCTTTGGGGTTTAGTTACTGTACTGTGTTCTACAATATTCCAGAAGTCGAGTTTACTGAGAGCTGTTGAAATATGGGAAGAATTTAAGAAATATCCAGCTTGAAATTTTGTTCAGCATAACGCAGGTTTTCGTAGAAATCAAGTGATCCAATTGAAACTGAACTGGAGCCGCGCTAAACAGAGTCCCCTCCCTCTGGCACGCCCCAGTGTCTCCAGCGAAAACGTTTCCTCCACCCTCCCCCCTAAGCTCACGGTTCGGCAAGAACTACTATTTTTAACTGCAGGAATTATTCAATTGCTTGTATTAGGTTGTCCGGAAAGGAATGCGCGTTTGAGCTTAAAAAATTTTTTATTATAAAAACGAAATTAAACACGATAAATTCAAAAGACAATCTCCATTAGTATCAATGACTTGCTGTCAACATTTATGCAAAAAATGGATTCCTCTTCTGAAGAACTCGACCGGCTGCGACTCAAAGAAGTTGGACACCCAGAGTTGGACCTTTTTCGCGGTTTGTGAATTTTCTCTCGGCCAGGGAGTTCTGTTGAAAAAACCGCTGTTCTTGGAGCGACGAAGAAGAATTCCGGCCATTGCCACTCGTGTTGCCTTGTTTGCGTCGCTCAGCTGGTGCGGCACCCGCTCTTCCCAACTTTTTTTCCCCAAACAAAGCAAAGTAGACATGACAAAAATATATCAAAAGAAGCACAATAAAAATCTCTTTCTAATAGACAAAACTGTCTCCAAAAATCTTCTATAGTAGGAGAGAAAAAAATGGACAAGTTCAAAAAATTCAACGCGCATTCCTTTCCGTACAACCTAATAGAAGCGCACGAAGGTTGTGAGATGGTGTCGAACATAAGAATTTGGAGTGATCGTACTTTCGCCGTCATTCTACCCGTCCTGAAGCGGTACCCTGTATGGTGCACACAGTGCAGTGAAGAACCGAAAGAATCCCTTGTAGTTTTACAAGCTTTCAGGGTATCGTGCGAAATTTCAATCCTCCATGAAAAAAACCAAGTACAAGCGCTATTATTGAAACAATATTTATCATCATTGTAACGACATATCAATATTCATTAATGTCAGAATACCGGCAATAGAAGTGAAGTGTGGGTACAACCGTCAGCTTTAGTCTTAACGACTTTGAATCCTAAGCTATAGATACGATAACGATAAGGCTACCATCATGTTAATCGATTAAATTACAAAATCATACGTGAATGTTATACTGGTTGAGCGTGGAATAATGAAAACTCGACAATCGAATGATACTGATTCATACATTAATTTTGAGAGTGAGGCCCATCATTCAGATCTTTGTCAAGATAAAGCAATTACATAAGAGCAGGGTGTGAAATTATCAAAAAAAAAATCGCACGATATATTTCTGATCGGGTTAGCTAACCAACGGAACTTGTATTACGGCCAGAGACGCAGAGTACAACCGCGACTCTGCTTCTTTGACATATTTGTTGCAAATTCTCTGTTTTATTGTATTTCTCACAGAATTTATATTTGCAAAAAGTGCAGAATTAGCAGAAATCGTGAGGGACAGCCACTAATGCTCGACATTCGTCCATGCTATGATTCCTGGCCTAGAACTCTGTGGGCTCGATCCTTAGAAGTGGAAGAGTTTCTTCTAGCACAACCGGGCAGACTCAAAGGCAGCGAGCACAATGGCTGTAGACGGGCGGTCCTGCCAACGTCACTGGTGGAAGCGCTGTGAGAGGGGGTTGGCCACATTCAGACCACGTCGAACGCTGGGGATTCCCTAGCGAAGGGGGTCGTGTTTGGTCGCTGAGGGATGGGAGAGCATTTGGTCCGTGGAAATTTTTCCCGTTGTTGGTAGAGGGGGTGCTATCTGCTTTTGGGAGAAATTTGGGAAAAATCTTCCCCGGTTGATGAATTATCGCGGTTTTTCCATTTCACATGTGCTATATACCTCCCTGATTGGTGGCACCGCAAAACCTCTATACAACTAGGATTACTGATCGATGAAACCAGTAATTGTTTGCTGATGACCTCCACATCACTCGACAGCAAAATTTCGGGGAAAAACTAGAAAATTTTCGGGAAATTCTAGAAAAACTGGAAAAAGTTATAGGAAGTTGGAAGAATCTAGAAAAAAGAGTTTATAGGAGAAAGGGGGTTGTATTTCCGTAAACTTTTCCCAGAAGCAAGACGTGCCCTGGCCACAGCTCATGCAGCCCTTCCACTAGTCACGTTGATGCAACCGTCTGCCTCCTACGCCAACGTGCTCACTGCCTTTAGCAACTCTGGCACCCCGTTTCAGGTGCTATGCTGACCCTCTGATTATTCAATGAAGAGTCATATTCACCCTAAAGCCCGACCCTAATTTGAAAAATCCTAAATATGCTACGTGCCCTCGTTTAAGATAAGGGACAACGAATACCTTTTTTTGAAATCCTACTGCTGTGAGCAGCTACCGTGCAGTGTTTTTTTTTCTACTGTAACATTTGCAGCGATAATTTCTAAGGAATGAATTTCCGAAAGCGCATCTACATTCACTGAATCGCAGCTTTTCACACGTTATTGATCTACTAAATTTAATTAGTAGATGTATTTTCCAATCGCTGGAAGTAGTACTATCAGCACTTTGGTTTTGCCTGCGATCAGTGCTTGTACAGTTTCCAGACTTCGCCCTTTAACGAGTTGATCATCCACGTAGAGAATCTCATCGCCGACACTTAGCATTGGGGACAGTGAAGCGATTGACACGCGAGAGATGAAAATACCTGGAAACGCTCTTACTATCGAATTTAAAGACACATTTCTCATATGCATGTAGGATTTGAAGCATGTATAAGGACATGTAGTATTTATAGCATTTTTACCTCGTTGTCCATTCATCACTCCAGTAGCAATGTAAAAACCAAAAGGTCCTGGTTGTGTTTTTTCTACGACTACTGTCCGGAATCCGCACTGATCCAATGCTACAAGAACAGCTCGAACTGGAGGAATTTCTCGCCTGAAACATGCAGCCCATAAGTTCCTAACAAGTTACTATTAAGGGACGAAAGGATATTTTGAAGTATTACCTGGTGCCATACTCCAAAACTTCGCAGTGTGGTCCAATACTTGCTGACCTTCTCGCGAATCGTTGCATTTCGGCCTGATCTCTGGATCGCCTGGAAAATAGCTCTATCTCGAAGTAGCCCTCAGACTTCCTCTAAGACATCCTTTCTCGCATGATATTGGAAAATACACAGCGACAGGTGCAATAAATATGCATCTTCCACAAGCGCCGTATATAGCCCACATCTGAGGGCAACAAGGGGCGTGGCAGCAAATGCGGTGAGGGTTCAGACAAAAGTGGATATGTGTAAGAGTGTATGAAATACACGCTTCTCGCTGCCCTCAGAAATGACGCCAGCTCCCTTTGTCCTTCTCTAGCCGGAGGCGGGTCAATTTGATTATTTTCTGTAGTGAACTTCACCCTACCCCTTGAGCCCTCTTCACAGCTCTCGAGGTGTTGGTAATGAGGCGCCCTGCTCAAATTCCACACATTACTGTGATGGTCTTGAATGTGTGGCTATAACAGACCTTTGCATCATTCGTGATGAGTGAGGGGCAAAGTCAAAGTCGTCTGGTTGAACTCCAGGTATCTTGGAAAGTGAGCCAAGAAGAGGTGCTACCGGTAGACGACGCCTTCGTAGAGTGTTCTTGTTGGGCGAATCAACACTAACACTGAGATTATCTAGACTTCCAATGGCTAGGTTACGAAGTTGATCCATCTGAATAGAACACGATCAGTGGATAAATCACTTGAAATGCCATTTAAATATTACCTGATAGTTGAGAGTTTTTGGTGGAGATCGGTACTGTAGCTCATTCAGGTCTGCGGTCTCCAACCGTGGTAATGATGCCGATCGATTACGAAGTTTCCGACTCAGTGCTTCGTTCACATTTTGACGTATCACAAAGTCGCGGATCGATTCCCGTGGTTTTTCGAATTGCCTAAAAATATGAGTACACTTATTACTGAAAACTATAGTGTCTCTTGTGACAAAGAATCCTACTTAACACAGCGAAAGGCACACCGTGCCCTCTATGGGCGGAGACAGGCCTACCGCTGAAGTGCGTTCATACATTTTGTCAGCTTCTGAGCTTACGACAGTGTTTTTAGCGTTTCGAGCACACGCGAGCGCACAGTATACCGTTACATATACTTTCCTAACTGGAAATTCTAGCGTTTGCTTTCGTGCTATCAAAACGCTGGCGTACTCCCGAAATGCTGGTGTACGCTCAAAACGCTGATGCCAAGCATGAACGCACTCCTACGCCTTCTTCATTGGTGGGCCTCGTTTTCAGACTAGTTAATAGGAGGGGTGCACCAGTGTGGAAAGCACAATGGGAAGCCCAACTCTGCCCGCATAAGAAGCCTGGATTGCGTCTCTGATGGATAAGCTCATTCAGACCATATTGAATGACCTTTTGAGTAGAATCATTTGAAAAATGTATGTAGAGCCTAGTCACGACTAGGCTTTTCTAGCGGCTTAGCGTGTCCAATGGCCGCTCGTGATTGGCTATCGTATCGAAGGCTATCCACTTACACAGCCAGCTTGCACCCGCAGAATCGCTCTAGCTAATTATCAAAAGGATGTAGAAGAAATATTTAACAAAGTAAAGCGAGCTTACCGTAATCTACTGATGGCCACCTCATATGAAGGTGGTTCGGGTAGCGATTCGACGTCATCGATCGAATAGGAGTATTGTACAGCATGGCCTAGAACTTAGCAGATGTCTTCACAAAAACTGAAATTTTGAAGCAAACGAAAGAAAAATAAAGAAAAAACAATCCGTATCTCGGAATCATAAGGGAAATGTCCACAGAATTGGACAGCACCGGAGGGGTAGGCATTCATCGGTTCAAGCGAAGAAAGCGAGCCCTTTGATGTTTTCTTGTGCCTTACGAGCTCCATTGGGTAGGCTGTCTACAGTCACTACTATTGCAAACGAGATGGCCTGTAAGGAGGCGTGGATTGGAGCGCAGCCAGGGCGGCCATATCCAGCCACGGCGGTCATACCCACCAAATGGGATCATCCTGTTACCACAACCCTGGTGGAAAGTAATGCTCTCGCTGCACTGCAATCCACACGCCCTCTCGTTTGCATGGATAACGAGTGTGAGTTCCAGCATAAACCGGTGTTGCCAGCGTCACTGGTGGAAGGGTTGCGAGAGGGCGTTTGGCCACATCCCATTCAGCCCTTCCACCAGTCACGTTAGCAACATCCGCCCGCCTCCAGCGCGTCCACTGCCTTTAAGAAACTGTACTTACTTGGTTTTCTTGCTGTAGTGATACAGTTATCAGGTTGTTTCATGTAAGCATGAGTGGACGGAGTTGAGGTGGTCTTCTTCGGCCTCGTCATTTGAGTCACATAAGGCGACGTTGCTTGTGGAGTATCTATAGATCAGAAAATATTCAGAATAAATATTTGGCATAGAGGAACTGCCACAAACTGCTGAAAGGAGAAAACAGCTACGCGTCACTTGACTTGACTCAGGGCTCACATTACACAGCCGATTCAAATTAAATCACGAGTTAGATCCAGCAACGAAGTTTCATGCAGTTCCATGCCTTTTAAAGTCGTAAACAGTAGTTAACCTAATGAAGACAGCTGTTGTCGTTGCCGAATGGCGGTGGCACATCGGCTGGCAGATTTGGTCGACTGCTCTGAGCATGTACTGGATGTCGACGCACCACTGTCCACCTGAATCCGTATACTTTTTTCTAATGTGCGAAAAGCAGTTAATATCCATTCAGAGTCATACTAGCATCTTAGCCAGCGTTCAGACTTCGCGACGACAGCGCGTTCGACGCGACCGATCGCGCATGATTTTGACTCGTCGATCAACGAAATCATCTGCGATCGACGCAATCGAAAGCGTGATCAACGCTGTCGCGCAGTCTGAGCTCTGCGTATTCGGCCTAAACGGTGTTGTGCAGGGGCCAGCCGGTGTACAGCACCATGACACTTTCCTGCCCAACTTCGTGATTCAGACAAAATTTACCCTAAATTTCTTCCTAGCCGCACATTTGGGCAGAAGTTTGATTCGGAGGATACCCTATCCCGCTGAACACGAATCTCGCATCGGGGTAAAGGCAACTTGTACGCAGGATTTTGATCCTTGCTATCTGCCAAAAGAACGGGTCAACAGTAGCATAAGTGTGACACTTTCGTCAAACGAGATAGCGCAGAAATGAGGCCAGAAGGTGGTGCCAGCTGGCATCGCTTGTGCCACCGCTTGTGGGCAAAGCACGCAGACACGCAACATGCCGCACGGACAGCCACACGCCTAACCATAGCTAGCTGCGTGTCTGCGCCCTCTCATATTTGGTTGTTCTCCACTTTATCTGCGTACATTCTCCAGGGGACTTTGATGTTAACACAAGCAGCGCTCTGAGGCCAACACGAGTAAGGCTCTTCTAGGATAGCAGTGGGGGGGGGAAGTGGGAGAAGCAAGCGTTGCACAGGTCAACTTTGGTACCGGCGCTCCTAGATTCCAAATGTTTTCGCGCCAAGGGTATTCGTATTAAGGGGATATAATTTCTTCTTGGGACACGATCTCAACAGATCTAGGGTTTTTAGGTGATTTGGAGCAGGCCAGGCTCAAGGGGGTCAAAGGTTTGAAAGAGTAGGTCTGTGATGGCGATGTTCGGAGGTCAAATTATTTCAAGAGACTAAGCTCCGGGTAAGTCTATCCCAGGCAAAAATTTCACTTAGAATCTGGTCTAGATTTTGACAAGTGGGTGGCATAGCACAATCAGTGGTTCGCATTTGTCAAACAACCCTGGAACTAAGTAAGTGCAAAATGCTCGGATGGCGCGGGCGAGATTCGATCTGATCATTCTGCTACTTCCTATGCCCCACATTTGCTTAGAAGTACACTCCATATCCTTGAGATAGAGCGGGCGTGGCTACGTGCTTCACTTCAATGTGGCTGCAGCTGCGTTTTTGTTGGGATACTGCCATTTTGTAGCAGTTGTAGTCATCTCTTTGCCTAGCATAAAACAGAACACTTGTCTCAGATGGAAATATCCAATGAAACAAATCTTGCCCCGCCTTCAAGTAATATGCATGACCAGGCCCTCCCCCTTCTCCGAGATATAAAATGTGAAGCTTATTTTTAGAAAGCCGTACCTCATCTGCAAAACGAACACGATACGTCTTTATGTTGCGAGCGGCTGTATTGGATGCAGTCGGTCGTTGAGGTAGTTTTCTGGCGGTTTCTGATGTGGCAAGTGGTCGTCTGAAGAAGAATTCAATATTAATTTAATTCACATTTCGATTTTATAGCGCAAAACGAGGAGCTGGACGTCTCGTTCAGAATTGGACGGAACATGGTCCGAATTCCTTTGGAATTGTGATGAAATACTCAATAGGGATCAAAAATAATAAATCAAATAATATGGATAATCCTCTAATGAATAACATCCTCTAATGATGCACCATCCACTTCCCGAAATCAAATACCTATTTCGGGAAGTGGATGGTGCAGCATTAGAGGCATGTGGTGCAGTGGACGGTCAGAAGGTGCAATCGAATAGATCTCTTCCTCATTATCAGAATTACAAGTATTGGTGAGTAGTATAAGAAGTGGCAATTTTTTCACATAGTTCGATTCAATCTCAGCTTGCAGGGTGAGAAAAACAAAACTGCAGCAATAAGGTGGATGTTGATACCGTGACTGTACGTAATTAAATATTATCACTTTTCAAGTTGTATTACTAAATAGGAATTACAACTGGAATAGGATTAGAACAATAATATTCAAGGATTCAATAAAGGATACAATTTTCGCCGTTGATCAGTCCCTTTGTGGGATGCGCCACGCATCATACTTCCGTTCGAAATCGTAGTGGCTTATTGAAGGGGATGTGGCCTATACAACGGGCCATGTACAAGTCATCTTATCCCCTCAGAGGGATCCGGTACCAATTTACTGTCCCCGGAGGGTAGGAGGCTTGGTTGGCCTGGGCGGGAGTCGACCCGTGGATTGAACCCAGAACCGTTGAGTAGTAAGCACGCCACTTGTCTCTACACCATCTCCGCCTCACAAGAGTAAGAAGTGTTCAGTGGAAAACCAAAAATCAAAGAAAGAAGGAAAGAGCGGTTCAACATAATTTCATTAGCACTGTGACAATTTATAGGATCTTCACGTCTGCTCAAAGAACCTTTCGTGTTTTTTACAGCAAAATTTCGTTTAGAATGAGCTCCTAGTAGTCGAACGTAGGCTCATGTATACTGCTTATCCCTGGGGCGGATAGGCGTGGCATTTGAACATGGTATAGAATGGATTACTCGTGGGATATTTTAGTTTGAGACAGTCGTGATCTTGTCCAGTGTTAGACAGAGACATCACCAAAATTGCGTCAAAATGAAAATAACTTCCAAGGGGACAGCCACGCCTACACATCTCAGCGATATCGAGTGTACAGTCTTGGTCACTGCGGATGCTAGAGCGTCATACGGGGGTGGCTTCGGCGTGGTGCCAGCCCGATTTCAACCAAATGTTGCCCTTGCTTGCTTGAACAATTGGTGGAGAACGTATTGGCGCCAAGCCCAGAACTCTGACACCGCAGCATCCGAAGCGAACGAGACTGTCCAGCCTCAAACACGAGCGAAAGAACCCCTGAGAGTCACCGATTTCGATAGAAAGTAGATTACGAAGAGTCAGAGCTGCAGACAGCTCCGTCAGTTTTAGAGCGCAGATGTAGAAAACCAACGCATCCCCCGCGGAGAACGGGGAGGTTCGGAAGCAAGCGGAATCCGGTGGAACTGCTCGGGTATGGTGAGAAGGACGAGCTACTCAAGTCTATGCCTATGAAAGAACGAAGCGAGAAGGAGAGCGGGCGTGCAACTGAGTTACCGACGTGACCAAAGAATCCTCCGCAACAGCGTTCAACCAGAAGATGGCATGGATTGTTCACTACAGTACAGACGCCCTGGGAGGAAAAGGCTTTGTTCACGCGCGATGTATCTCTGATAAAGATCCACGTCAATTTCGTTTGTTGTGATCTGTGCGACAATCGTTTAGAGTGGATATTTGAAAATAGCGAAGAATTCTCGGAATCCAACTTCTTCGACCCACCAATGTACCGGTTCCTCAGGAATTCTTCGAATGGGTGAAGGGTTAGAGATGATAGTGGAGGTTACCCTCGGATTGAATTGTATAATTGTTGTTTTTATAACAAAACATATTTTGTGGTCAAACACGCATTAATATTCAGGGCACGTCCTACGATGGGAATCCCCAGCGGGTGTGTCGAATTTGTTTGCCAGAGGGAGGTGGGGGGGGGGTCGCATTTGGTCTCAGAAACGTTTTTTGGTAGTTGTGCTCGTAAAGGAAAAAGGAGAGGATAAAATAAGGCCCTACTCGTGCCACGCTAAAGACAAGCAATCGATGTGGATATCGCGAGAGGCCAGAGAAACCAAAGAGAGTGCATGCAAACGAAAGAGAGCGTAGATAAGACATCTATCACGGGCGGAATCGCTCGAGTAACTTTGTGCTTTACCGCCGCTTCCTTACCTTACCACTTTCTGACGTGAAACTTATAGAGGATTGTTCGTTACAAGCCACACTACCTCTCCGCACAATCAGCTTAGACAGCTATAACCGACCCCGGGCTCTGCCTTTAAAAAGTCCCGATTCGGAAGGTTGCTGGGGCTGCTGTTCTAGTCTCTGAATGGGCAATGAATTGTGATTTCCAAAAAGAAGAAATGTGCAACATTTCAAATATGCAACAACGGCACAGACCAGGTATATGTGAATGGAAATGAGGCTTCAATTCGATTTTCGAGAAACGTTTTTCATTGCACGTGGCGTATTCGATGATATGGTGCAGACGCATTTCCGGCACTTTTTGAAACTGCGAAGTTCGCTGGGGAACGCGCTACTGAATTAGATCATCGCCTGACGACAATGGTGCACAAAGCGATGATGTAAACGTGCTGGTTCTTCCCCTTCTATTCTTATCATACGAAAATGTCTCTCACAGAAAGGATTAGAGCAGTTCCTCAGAACTCCTAACTTTTTCAGCTATGTGCATATGCCACGCAAAAATTTGCAAAATTCGCAGAAATTACAGATTTTCGCATAAAATTCTGCGATGATCCTTACATGGTTCGGAGGGGATTTTCGAAGAGGACGCCCTTTGTGAGCTGCTCTAAGCGTTTAAATCACTTTTCATGTTTGCTGTTGCTCAATAACTTCAATAAACTTCTGTTATTCTATCTTGGCGGGAGAACGTGGAGTTCGATAAGGGAGAGGGCATGAAAAGGGGCAGCTGAAGTGGGCGACCCAAGCCACCGCCGCACATAGTGAATGGGTAGGAATCTGTAACTTCACATAGCACACTGGCTTAATGGTTGTGTATTCGAAAAGGTAGACGGACAAGACATTTGTAATATGTCGCCCGCGGCGCGGTGCGCGGCAAATTGTCGATCTGCATCAATTGGTGTCAATGCACTCGTCAATTGGTGCAGCGAAACTCATGCGAGCTCCAGCCGAGGAAAAACTCCATGCCAGGTGATACCAATTTCTCCCACCTTCACCATTCAAGTTCAAACGGCCGGGCAGGACAACTCGTCTCTCCCCAGTGCGGCGTTACTCGCCACGCCCAGCGCCGCGATTACAATTGTCATGACAATTTTCCCTTTGAAATCAGTCAAACAATATGCCAAGGCGCTTCAGGCTCAAGACATCTTTGGTCTCCAGTAGAACTGTTCTTCTCCAGAACCACAGCGGATCCTGCACGCGAGTGAGTCAATCCAGAATTACATGGGTGCTTCGGGCAGAAGCACTCGGGCTGGAGCTCCGCATCTGAGTTTCGCTGGGCACAGCAAATTGATGACGAGTGCAGTTGAA